ATCTAGTAATTGCAAGACACAACTGTGTTTGCTTCTGAATCGGAATTGACTTTTGTTAAATAAATTATTGTCTTCCTTGTGTTTCATTATTATTTCTCTTACAGTCTTTTCACACAGTTTACAAGGGACTGATGTGAGGGATATAGGGCAATAGTTAGTGCATTCTTATTTGCTTCCCTTGTTTCTTATACAATGTAGTGATGTTCGCTACTTTCCAATCTTCAGGCAAAGTGCCTTCCTCAAATGTTTTGTTAAAAATGGTTTGAAGTGGTGTTTTCAACTCATTTGCACACTCTTTCAAGACTCTGGGGTAGCACATGTCAGGTCCCATAGATTTTGATGTATAAAGAGAGCTAAGTCTTTTAAAAACGTCTTCCGTAGACAAAATGAGTCTAGTAACTGGAGTTCAAAAACAGGCAGAGGTTCATCAGGGTCTTTTATAAATACTGACTAGAAGTAATCATATAATAGATTAGCTTTCTGTTCATCATCGCAGATAATATTCCCAATACAGTCCTTTAAGTCCCCAATTCCTGACTAAGCCTTTCAATGATAAAGTATATTCTCTGCGTTAAATGAGAAACATGTGTATATTTGCATTGATTAAGTTGTCAGACATAACAAACAACGAATGAACTGTATATGGAAGTTGTTGGCAAATGTGAGACACATGATCTGATATAACATATACGTATTTATATAGCAGATAATAAAATGTTCTAGAACAAAATATTTAATAATTCATCGTATAAAGGTTATTTCTAAGTCATTTAGAAATATATTAACTTTTTTTTCAAACAACTATTTAATATTTTATCCAAGTGATACATTCCTTTTTGCTTTTTATCAATATTTGAAAAGAAATTATTGACAATGTGCCCATTTTAGACCTATCTTCTTTTAGTTCTTGTCTTCTGTATTGTTGTTAGGCCAATTTTAGGTAATGATAAATGCTTAAAGATGTTTTTAGAAAAATGTCTACTTTATAAGAGAGTACCATTTTTTAATCACTCAAAGATTGCGGATTGTTAGAATAATATAGAAGGAAGTTTCAGTGAGTAACATGGGTTATTGATCATTCGTGCCAAGTAAAATATCAAATTGAAAACAATTATATCACATTGTAAAGCTATTTTGACTTTGACATTTATTTGTTCACTCACTATTTAAACTTAAATTAGCATAATTCAACTTTAAACTACAATATTTAACAATTGTAATTGTTATTAAAGGTTATGTAAGAAATAAATTATAATGAAGTGAAAAAGTTAATTGTTAATAGTTATAGTAAATGTCACAACAAAGAAAGGTAGGTTTGTTCGCAGCACTGCACTTTCGTTAATATATGTTCAGTAAGGATACTTTAACATTGCTTGTATTAGCCTTTAATTGTATAAAAATTAATCATATATGGGGCAGTCATTTTTGATTACATATTACAATTATAACATAACAATGATTACATAATAATCACATTACATCCAACACGTCACATCACATCGCATTACATTACATAAGATTACTTTGTATGGGGCGTCCGTGGCCGAATGGTTAAGGTCGTTGACCTCAAACCACTTGTCCCTCACCGCTGTGGGTTGGCATCCCGACAGGGACTTGGATTCTTTCATGTGAGGAAGCTATCCAGCTAGCTTACAGAACGTCGGTGGTTCTACTCAGGTGAAATAATGCACGGAAGGGCACCTGAGGTCTTCCTCCACCAGTAAAGCTTGAACGTCGCGATGACCTATACTGTGTCGATGTGACGTAAAACCCAAAACAAACAAAACAAACAAACAAATTACTTTATATCATATTAGATACAAATAATGGACTGAACAACTGTCTGATTTCCAGAAATGCGGAACGTTTCCCGAGACTTTATATCGTGGGACCAGGATACAATACCCTGTCTATCTAGAGGAATACTGTTTTGCATCCGAAAAACGGATTGGTGAAGGAGATGTTGCATTGGATTGTCATGAAACCTTTCTTATTAATCCATTCAACTAGAAACTAGAAAACAAGTTCGTTCTGAAGAAATTTCCTTTTTGTATTTTACTCTTAGGAAAGTGTTGTGCGGACGTAGTTCTTGTATTCATAATTTATCAGCCGTTATTAAAAAACGCACGTGTAACATCGATTTACTTCACCAATAAATAATAAATAAGTAAATAAATAAATAAACTTCTTTGCCTTCTTTTCTGCAATACACCTGTATGTAAACAACTTTTGTACGTCTTACAATTTTGAAACCTGGCGATTTCTCGCTAACCGCTTAGAAAATACAGCATGTAAATCAAGGGCTCTACAATCATGTATTGTTTTAAATGAAAATGCAAATAGAAAATAAAAAATAATTGTTTAAGTATTTCTAAAGAAATAAATAATGGATAAAATACACGTTTAATTCTCAACCGTCTGTGCCAATTAACCTCTAATAAAAGGTCAACCTAGTGACGGCATTTTGTCAAGATTAGACTCATGTTGTCAGATGTCTGGCACAAATATTCGTTAGCTTTTTCTTCTTTATTGACTTAAGCTTATCCGTCGCTTCGCAATATAAAAAGAGTAGTATTAAAGACGTTATGGAATTTCTGTGTCGTAACGCTTCCCCTTAAAATTTAAGATTTACAACTGCACATATCTAAACAGACATTTGTCAAGGTTGCATTTTCTTCGGCCCTTCTCTGTGTTGTAAAACTATTCATTTGCAGACATTTTATGCTTAAAACCTCATTTGCTTGTGTTTTGTGATTTAAAGAAAAAACAACAAATTGTTATTTTGTATTTATCGTGTAATTCAGGTGCCCTCTTGGCTTATTGTCAAAATAGTTTGTAAAACCACGTGATATTCACGCATGACCACAGCGTCTTCTTCAATTAATAATATCATAAATTTAGGAGAAAAATAGCCAAAGGTAGTGTTTAGAATACATTCCGATAAATAACATTGGCAAATCTTACTAAAGCATTCCTTAAAAAATCCATTAAAGCATTTTTCATATAAGTATTTTTCACAATGTTTCTTGTCGTTGTAAGCAAATTTCAGACTTTAAAATTATAAAAGAACATATTTTGTTACAGGTTTTTTTAGGCAAAGATAATGTATTTCAAAATGTCATATTCCTTGGAAACGTCATTTAGTTATAACAAGTCATGTGATACATATACAATAAAATAATAAAAGCAATAGAATTTGTCACATGTTAATGGGGAACATGTTTCAGAGTTATTGGACAACGTGATTTGTGTTGGTCATGTACATCATATAGTATTAAATACAAAATCCCTTCTGAAAACAGGACAATTAACAAATATTCATGTATTTAAACTTAGTCTTGTTTTAATGTAAAGTTTCAAAAGTAAACGTTTCAAGAGTTAAAAGGGGACATGAAGTTTGTTCAAAACATTTTGCAAATTCAGTTCCTCTAGAGCGTTTAGAATATTCAAAACTTTGAATAATTTGCAATATTCTTTTTATGTTTTTCACACAGACACTTGGGTTTTGGAGCTCAAAACGCCTTTAAAATCCAAATAAAATACATATTTGTCAATCCCAGCACATGTACTGATCATAATTATATATATAAAAAAAAACTTAATATAAGCCGTTTTGAAAAAAAATCATATTTCAACATCTATAATAATACACAAGATAAAAATGTTCGCCGGAAAAACTCCGCACCCTTACCGTCATAATCACCATGTATTTTATTCCATTTCCAATATTTTCACATAATCCTTTGGTCCATCGACACAGAAGATATAATTCTTCACGATGATGGTCAATTTTAAACTTCAACGGTAATATAAACAACGCAACAGCCGAAATAAACATCAAGATTATCGCCGTTTTCCTCCATTGACAAAATCTTTCGATAAATTCAAACGTGCCAGTCGGCTATGAACGAAGCCATCCGATTATGTGGTTCCCAAACTTAAAAGCGCTGCGCATTTTGCACACGGCAAAGCTGGGACCACGTTTGAATTTATCGAAAGATTTTGTCAATGGAGGAAAACGGCGATACTCTTGATGTTTATTTCGGCTGTTGCGTTGTTTATATTACCGTTGAAGTTTAAAATTGACCATCATCGTGAAGAATTATATCTTCTGTGTCGATGGACCAAAGGATTATGTGAAAATATTGGAAATGGAATAAAATACAAGGTGATTATGACGGTAGGTGTGCGGATTTTTTCCGGCGAACATTTTTATCTTGTGTATTATTATAGATGTTGAAATATGAATTTTTTTCAAAACGGCTTATATTAAGTTTTTTGATATATATGATCAGTACATGTGCTTGGATTGACAAATATGCATTTTATTTGGATTTTAAAGGCGTTTTGAGCTCCAAACCCCAAGTGTCTGTGGTTTTTCAAGCGATTTAATATACATTGTAATGATGAATCTATTTGTAGCTCGACTTATAATTATGTAATATTTGTGATAATATTTTTATTGAAGTAGTTAATAAGGATTTAAAACTAAATTTCCCGATCTTCTGTTTTTATAAACAAACGTCACAGACGTGCTACAAATACCTCTTGAGACGTTGTTTTGAAGAAGGCTTTACAGTGATACGGTGCATTTTTCCAATATAAAATGACTTCAATACTTAGTTTTGGAAAATACAATTTTTTTTTCAACAGAAAATAAAAGCTGAGGGTCTGTATAACAACAGTAATAAAATATTCGCTAACATTCACTTTTATGTTAATCGAGTCACAATAATTGAAAAAGACAAGTTTTTAAAAGTACAAGTAATTAGCAAGATGCAAAAACACAATTTTGATAAACATATATGAGCCGCGCCATGACAAAACAAGCATAATGGGTTTGCGACCAGCATTTATCCAGACCGGCCTGCGCGTCCGCGCAGTCTGATCAGGATCCATGCCATTCGCTTACAAACTCTATTACAAATAAAGAAACTGATAGAAAACAGCATGGATCCTGATCAGACTGCGTGGATGCGCAGGCTGGTCTGGATCTATGCTGGTCGCAAACGCATTACTTTGGTTTTGTCATGGCGCGGCTCATATAACTTTCTTTTTAAAAAAAGTACAAACAGAATATCTATGGGTCTTTAACACCTGGCTAAATTGAACTACCGAAAGAACATTAGCTACCGGTATAAAGTTCTTTAAAACAGCACAAGAAAGACGGTCAGTAAAACACCCTGATTTAGTCCTTTCTTTTCACACCATCGGGAAACATGGACCGTCGTATAAAACAACTTTATTCCTGAAAAGAAATAAAAACTAATTTCAGTTTTCTAAAATAATACAATTATAGAATATATTAAGTGATTTGCTGTTAATTTTCTAAATAACAAAAAGTTCCCTGATCACTAAAAATCATCGTTCATTTAATAAAATAAAGTGCACAAACTATTATAAACTGTTTTTAATAATATAAGCCAAAATTAAAAGATAGAAGTTGTCAGGTTGTCTGGTTACACAGTTTCATTCGAATGTACAATGCTAGGTTCCAGAAATTACTTATTTAAGGTTGAACGTTATCTGATTAAATTACGTTAAGCACCTTAGATCATTATGTATATGTCTTATGCGGTTATAACTTACTTGCACGAAGCTAAACAATCGTTTGTTTCCGTTCCTTCATTGGTACATACTGGATCTGGGCTTCCATCACACACACAAAAGAATGGCCTAGAACCAGATTGCTTGTTGTTGTTGTTATTATGCCTATTATTGTTGTTATGCATATTATTGTTGTTAGGCATATTATTGTTGTTAGGCATATTATTGTTGTTATTTTTGGCTTGCATGTCTGGTTTTTGTTGTATCTGTTGTTGTATCTGTTGTTGTATCTGTTGTTGTAATTGTTGTTGTAACTGTTGTTGTATCTGTTGAATTTGTTGTTGTACCTGTTGCTGTTGTTGATTGGTATTTTGTGCTACAGGTTCTGGCAGAAATTGAGGTTGGAGGTCCGGTATGCTCTGTGGTATGGGGTCAAACACCGGCGGAGGGGTAGGTTCATGTTTGATCTGTGGTGGTGGTGTTGGTGGTTGTGTTGGTGGTGGTGGAGGAATGAATTGCGTTAGTTCAGGTTTGTGTTGTTGAATTTGATTCTGTTTTGGTTGTGATTGCAGTATTGGTTGAATTGGTTGCGGTCTATATTGCGTAGGTTCTGGGTTTAATTGCGGTGTTGGTTCAGGTATGTATTGTGGCGGTGGTTCCGGTCTATATTGTGGTGGAGGTTCTGGTCTGTATTGCGCAATGGGATCTGGCTTTGAAAGTGTTTTTGGTTCAGGCCTAAATTGAACCGGTGATTCAGGTTTGTATTGCGGTGGTGGTTCAGGTCTGGATGGCGGTGGTGGTTCCGGTCTGTATTGTACCGGTGGTTCAGGTCTGGATGGCGGTGGTTGTTCCGGTCTGTATTGTACCGGTGGTTCAGGTTTGTATTGCGGTGGTGGTTCAGGTTGATATTGTGGTTGTGAATCTGGTTTGTATTGTGGTGGTGGTTCAGGTCTGTACTGCGTTGGTGGATCAGGTCTGTACTGTGGAGGTCCTTCCGGTTTATATTGTGGTGGTGGTTCAGGTCTGTATTGTGGTGGTGGTTCCGGTCTGTATTGCGGCGGTGGTTCAGGATTGTATTGTGGTGCTGGTTCTGGTCTGTATTGTGGCGGTGGTTCCGGTCTATATTGTGGTGGAGGTTCTGGTCTGTATTGTGGCGGTGGTTCTGGTCTGTATTGTGGTGGAGGTTCTGGTCTGTACGGCGGTGGTGTTGGTTCCGGTCTGTATTGTGGTGGTGGTTCAGGTCTGTATTGCGGCGGTGGTTCGGGATTGTATTGTGGTGCTGGTTCTGGTCTGTATTGTGGCGGTGGTTCCGGTCTATATTGTGGTGGTGGTTCAGGTCTGTATTGCGGCGGTGGTTCAGGATTGTATTGTGGTGCTGGTTCTGGTCTGTAATGTGGCGGTGGTTCCGGTCTATATTGTGGTGGAGGTTCTGGTCTGTATTGTGGCGGTGGTTCCGGTCTGTATTGTGGTGGAGGTTCTGGTCTGTACGGCGGTGGTGATGGTTCTGGTCTGTATTGTGGTGGAGGTTCTGGTCTGTACGGCGGTGGTGATGGTTCTGGTCTGTATTGTGGTGGTTGTGTTGGTCTATACTGTGGTGGTTGTGTTGGTCTATATTGTGGAGCTTGTGTAGGACTATATCTGTTTCTGTTTCTGTCTGGTGGGCGTTCTACCCTTGCATGTTGTCTTCCTTGATCAGATCTGCTTGGTCTACAGGGGCACGTACCATCACAGCCTTTATATTTCCAGCTATATTATTAAAAAGTTTGTCAAAACATTTCTAGAGAACACTCGAAAAGCGAGGAACAAAGAGACCGAAAGAAATATATATGCTTTTTAAAGTTGAATGATTAAGATATTTAGGTTGCGTTTGATCGTGACTATTTTGATGTAATTAAAATACCCGGTATACCACATCTATTGTATCAATATCAACGTACTCATCACTCAATATTTTACAACTTGATTCCGCTTGAATAAAAAATCTAAATCCGTTAAAAAATCCCTTTTGTTTTGTTTTACAATACAATGCATAATTATTATTATTATTTTTTTTTAATTATTATTAATATTATTACTATTATTATTATTATTATTATTATTACAATAGTTCAAATTTTAAAGGACTAAATAGTAGATGTTTGACACATAAAGCACATGTTTATAATTATAGTTTCTATTACAAATTAATTGTAATATAAATTTAATAAAAAGAAACTTACTTGCAATCCAGAAAACATTCATTGTCGAAATTTTCATGTTGATCTGAACAGACTGGTGTATAACCGTACCGTCTACAGGTCTGTTCACAGCCGACACCTGGTGACCGATGTGTTGATCGACTGGTTCGTTTCGGGTGGCATTCGGCTTAAATATTAGAAACATTATTTCAACTGATTTATTGATGTATAACTATACATTATCATGTATCGTACAATGTCAAAAAATCTAGAAACAAAGTGATCCCTCGGAAGCATTAATCACAACAAAATAACATGAAAATTGCAGACTCGAGTCAAATGCAAAATGCCTCCCTAGCACCGGCTTGAACACTTAATAGTGCTGACATTATCGGATGATAAAACATCATATATTAATCATAAAAATAAAACACCACCACAACTTGATTTAAAAGCATCTTTAACAAATGCATAACTAAATAAATTTAAAGCAACATAAGTATTAATTGATAAAAAATCAATAAAAAACAATTCATGTTGCAACGTTATTTTGCTTTTCACAAGAGAATCTCCTTTTTTTATTACTTATCAATTACAAAACCCTTACGATCTGGTATCTAACCCTCTAGAACAATACATCCATGGAGCAGAACTTCATTAAAACAAACAAAAATGGCATAACTATGCGTTGACAATACTTCTACTACTACTGCTACTATTTAAATGACTTTAAATGTAATAAAATTCCTTCGAATCAAACACGTTCTCCGGGTTTGTAATAGGTTTCCATATCTTAAGTTTGTATTGTTTTTAATCCAAAGGTTATTTTGATTAAATCCATGCACAATAAGATCAAAAGTCAACTATTACTAACCGGAAGCAAGAATTACAGATAAAACTATAATTATTCTCATTCTGTCGTGCTGCCGTACAGCAGAACTTTGCTGTAAATGCAATGCTTTAATTATTGCTGAATGTACAGGAAAGAAAGATATTCTTTAATAAATGATTCAATTTCACGCGTCGTTAAAGCTCTTTATGATATGAAGGAAGTAATAGCAATATACTATGACATATTTTCACATCTTTAATCAATACGTCTCCACATATTTTAGATTTAATGAGAACCGAATGATAAAAATTTATGCAAATGATTGAGACATTAACCTGAATCGTGCAATAAATTGGCCAAACAAAAGATAACTGTTTCATTTTTACTGCCCTTTTGACGAGTTTTGCATATAAGGTTTCAATGTGCAATAGTATGTTCAAATGACAATTTCAAGTTAATATCAACGTTTATTATGCTATGATAAACAATAACATAGATGCAAAAACAACAGATCCATGCAAATCATGCTAACCAATCAAGTAATAACATGTTTTCTTCATACAAATGTTTCAATAATATAAACAAAATTTCTGAAAAAAAAAATTAACGAACATTTCAATATAATTCAGTTTCATTGTCAGTTTTATGGCAATCAGGAAAATATTTGCATTGAACCATTTACAAATAGTAAAAACTTATGGCAAAGACTATCCCATTCATGATCGTAATCATATATACAAATAATAGAGCACAATACAGAATAATTCTATAAGACCAGAAGGCAGGTTGATTTTCAAGAACAGTTTTGTTGTGAATATATTGTTTCTTTAAAACCTCTACACACTTAGTTTTGGTAGGTTAATTATGTATAATACGAACATTTACCCTACGATATTGTAACAAATGAAAACGACCAAAACCCTCGCTATTCCCATAACGGAGTTATATGCTAATTAGCGGCGGTATTATACGTCATCCCGCATGCTCATAGCCTCGTAAAATCAATAAAATTGTACCTCCAAATCTGACAAGCTATTTGAAAACAATATGTATTTTCTTTTTACAGTTTATAGCGTGTTATCCTACGTCATGATAGAGTCGTGGTAAAATTTCCATATCAAAGTACGTGAATCACGAGAAGACATAGACGACAGTCCTGGTGTTTATAAGAATATATACACACACATTGAAAAAAAACATTAGTTTTTCAAGTACCAGTTGAAAAAAAAAATCACATTATGTTAAAAATAATTGCAATATATTCAAGATTTTTAAAGGCACACTATTTACTTCTTTCCAAATGTCAAACATGTGTTTAATATGACTTTAGCAATGGATTTAAAGTCGCTGAAAAAGTAGCGCAGAACGTGCTTGTTTTGTGTAAAATGTAAACGAAGCAGTATTATGACGTCCATACATCCATGATATTTGTAACCAACAAAGAAACTGGTTTTGGTGAACATTTCTTAGATCAAGATTCGCGATATCACATTCCTATTTATTGTTGTTCTTTTTTAATTTAACAAATATTAACAAAAAACTTTCCAAAGGTTTATTTGGGAATGTAAAACGTGGCGACGATAATGAAAAGTTAAGAAATAATATACAGGCTACTAACTGGAATAATTGCTTTGAAACTGACATAAACATATATACTAATAAAATGACAGATAGATACTTAGATATTGCCAAAGTTTGTATTCCTAATAAGATGATATATGTTCGCCCTTCCGATGTTCCGTGGATGACAAGTACTATACAAAGTCATATACGAATAAGAAAAGATTATATTAAAAGCTAAACTTAAAGCAAACAACAATTCATTGGCAAACATTCAGACAATTTAGAAATAAAACTACGTTACTACTGTTCAGGGAAACAAAATCCAATTATTACTGTAATATGGAAAATAAACTTAAAGAACAATCATTATCATCTAAGGTGTAAAACTCTAAAAACATTTATTTCATCTTCAACCAGTCAAACAATACCCCCACTTAAACAAACAATTACATTTTTCTGACGAAGAGATGGCAAATCTCCCAAATGAAAATTTCTTCAGCAGACACAAAATATGATAAACAAGATCATCAAGGAAAGGCGGCGTTCAATGAAGTACTTTCTCCATGGGGTCTAGAAGTGAAATAGGACGATAGTTACTAGTTATGAATGGATCACCTTTTTTCAAAGAAGATGGTATGGTTCTTTGGAGAGAGTATTTTAATAGGTTATCCTTGTCCACAAGTCGACATCTCAGATAAAGCTGTCCCCGATCTTGGTCCTCCATTGGATGGAAATATATTATCTGAACTAGTTCTGACTCCAGACGAAACACAATCAGTCCTTTAATCACTGTAAACCGATAAAGCATCTGGTCCTGATGGAATCAGTAATAAAATTCTAAAAGAAGCTTCTCAAGAACTTTCAGTTCCTTTCTGTAACTTATTAAAATACTCTGTCCAAAGTATTATACCATCTTCTTTGAAAAAAGGTGATCCATTCATAACTAGTAACTATCGTCCTATTTCACTTCTAGACCCCATGGAGAAAGTATTTTAAAGACTTATATTCAAACATCTCTTTTAACTTCCTTACTTCAGTTATATCAGGATTTATACCATGTGATTCAACAGTCAATCAATTAGTGTCAATTTACGATACTCTTTGCAAAGCCGTTGATAACGGGCAAGAAGTACGAGTTATTTTCTTTGACATTAATAAAGCTTTCGACAAGGTTTAGCATAATAGTTAATTACTTAGAGATAGACAACAACGTGTTGTCTTTTCTAACTCTAAATCGTCTATTGTTTATCTTTCAGTTGGTGTTCGCTCAGGCTCAATTCTTGGTCCTTTTCTCTTTCTGATATTTATTAACGATATTGTTGAAGATATACAATCTTGTATCAATTTATTCGCTGATGACACTAGTCTTTATCTTGTTGTTAAAAATCGGCAAACAGCTGCTAACACATTACAGTCGGATATACACAGAATTTCATTATTGGCAGATACATGGCTTGTTTCATTTAATCCTTCTAAATCTGAGTCTTTGTTAGTCTCTAGAAAGAGATATCTAAATCAACATCCAGAACTACAAATGAATAATCAGACTATTTCTGAAGTTTCTGACCACAATATCTTGGAGTTTTGATTTCGAATAACTGCACATGGCGCTCACATATAGATTTTATAACAAATAAAGCATTGAATAGGGTAAATATTATGAGAAAACTTTAATTTCGACTAGATAGGAAATCACTAGAGGCAATTTACACTTATTTCATACGTCCATTACTTGAATATGTTGATGTTATATGGGAAAATGCTACAAATTGTGAAATAGACAAACTTACCAAAATGCAAAACGAATGTACTCGTATTGCTTCCGGATGTACAAGACTTGTTTCACTCGAAAATCTTTCAAATGAAATAAACTTGGAATCTCTCGAAGAAAGACGATATATTCATAGAATGATCTTTCTTTTTAAAATTTAAAACGGACTAGCTCCAGATTATCTTTCCTCAATTCTCCCTACAGCAACTAATGATAGGTACAACCTAAGAAATATTGACAATATTCCGGGAATATATGCAAGAACAACTGTTTATTTTAACTCATTTTTTTTCCGGCTGCAATACGGGAATAGAGTAGTCTTCCACACGATGTCCGCAACCTTCTAACTCTCACATCATACAAACACAATTTAAAAAACAACAAACGACACAAGTCTAACTATTATTTTTCTTCTCTTTTTTCATATTGTATTCGTCTCAAATTATAAAATATGTAATAATTTAAGCGCCTATTATATGTCAATTACTCATTTGGGAAAAGAATTTCATAGGACAGGTTGCTTTTCATTCTAATCCTGTTTTTTAAAGAATATTTGAATTGCTCTGAGTATATTCTGAATTGTAAATTGTATATATATATTCTGAGAAATAAAATACGTTTAAACTAAAATAAATGACTGGCGCTCTTATATAATAATGGATGACGCTATTGAATGTTAACATGTTATCAAACAGAAAGCGACAATGATAGACGTAAAGGCCTCATCAAACTGTAGGGTTTTGAGGTACAACTATAATTAAAATTTAGATGTGCAATTCTTAAATTAGTCAGTACCAACAATTATAGCATTTTTATGCAATCATATAGATATAGAATGGTTCTTTTATTGTAAGATTGTTGAGTATATTAAATGCAAAACTAAACAGGTTACGTAATTTGTAGTATCCCAGTATCACAATGTGTGCATGTGTCTTTAAGTGTGAGCAATTCCAGACCTCACAGGCTCTCTTTGATAAAAGTAGAAGTTAAAATATAGATTATAACTTGGCGATATATTAATGACATGAAAAGTAATAGTTAAACATAATGAGATAAGTATTTATTTTGTTACGATTCTAGTTCTTACTGCTAATGGACGATGTCAAATTAATTCATAACCACATACAAATTTGCAATGTATATATATAGTAAGACAGTCCTATCTCATTGCAATCTTGTTTGTTTGCATTCTTTTTGCTGCAGATAAATAATAAAACAGTTGATAGCTATAATAATGTATATTCTTGTCGCCAAATGCATTACTTGAAAATATATGTTTTGATATATCGATTTATCCAGTTTCACATATCATGTGTCGACGTAATTGTAAAGAAATGTTTTCAATAAAAACAACTATTTACCCGTAAAGCACAATTACGTAAATGTTATTTTAAGGTTAGTTGTTTTTCTGTTTCTGTCTGATTGCAAACTAAAAATAAATAAAATAAATATAAAACAAATAACACATTCATAGATGTGATACAAAAAAACCCAGATTTTTTTAATAGCATTCTTACTTTTACATGCTCTGTGAAAGGAAAATGGACAGTAATTCATAATGTAAAATGGACAGTAATTCACATTTTTGTCCGTAAAACATTTCAAGTTTCTAAAATAAGCATTTCATTTTGTAATATATTTGTCTAATGCTTTTACAAACGATTGTTTTATATGTAAGTTATGGTTGCCGTTTAAAAGTTAATTTGTGAGGTGACAGATAAACGTGTAACTTGCCTCTGACTCATTCAAAGGATAAAAGGAAAACAAAAAAAACAAAAAGCTAAACAAAAAAAAAACATGCAATCCTAAAACAAGTCAAAGTTTTTATGTTTAGATTGGTAAAATATAGCAATGATAATATAGTTGACCCGAACTGATCTATAAAG